CGCGGACAGCGGTACCGGCCCGTGTCCCGCTCCCCGCACTCCCCGCACGGCCCCGCAGCCCTCATGGCCGCCCCCAGCCCTCACTCAGCCAGGCTGGCTAATCCACCGCCGAGACTCCCGGCCAGGCTGGCTAATCCACCGCCGAGCGCTCACCCAGCCAGGCTCGCTAATCCACCGCCGAGCGCTCACCCAGCCAGGCTCGCTAATCCACCGCCGAGCGCGGCCCCGCCCTCTCCGAGGACCGGGATTGTCCAGAAATAGAGATGGAAAATGTGGATATCTAGAGATAGCGGCAGATATATAAGGAAACAGAGATATCTAGAGATATCTATAGAGGCAGAGAGATCCACAGATATCTATAGAGAGATTAGGTATATATATAGATATAGATTTCTATATTATATAGAAATAGAGATGGAAAAAGGGGGACCAATAGAGATACTTATAGATATCTATAGATAGAGAGAGGGAGAGAGACATTTCTCTATATATATAGAGAGAGGGAGGGATCTATAGATATTTAGAGATATATAAAGAGATCTATAGATAAGTATAGAGAGAGATCTATAGACATACAGAGTGATCTACAGATATTTGGGGAGGTACAGGTATAGGTATATCTCTCTAGATATAGATTATATATGGGAGGAAGAGAAGGAGGGAAGTGGAGACAAAGAGACATTAGATACACAGATATATAGAGATATGAGATACAGATATATATAGATATATAGATAGATATATATAGACATATATACAGATATATCTAGAGAGAGAGAGAGGTCCAGAGTTACAGACACAGAGATCCTGACCCTCTGGAGGGCTCTGGCAGGATCCCAGCAGTCCCCTTGGCTTTCCCAGTGCCCACCGCTGCCATGGGCAGTGTCACATCGAGTGCTCTGCTCCTGATATGCCACCTTCCAATGTCACTGTGGAAGTGGGGACAAAAACTACACCATAAAGCAAATATCCCACCCAAAACCAGCCTGGGTTGATCTTCATCATCGGCCCTGTGGGAAGTTTTGGCTGAACCTGCTGCTGTTGAGGGTGAAATGCAGATGTTCAGGTTGCAGCCAGACACTCCCTGGGGCTGGGGGTGCTGGGAGTTCCCAGAAATCCCTGACAGAACAGCAGCGCTCCAAAATATAACAGGGAACGGAGAAAAGAAATGATCTTGCCTGAGTTACATTATCCATTTCAATAATTCATTTTAATTCCGTGTCACTTAGGGCCATCCATTTCCTTAAATACCTGAATTTTAATTCAGACAAAAGGAATTCCCCTGGAGTGTGCAGCAGCACAGGAGAGGGGTTTGTCGGCACTAAAGGGAAGGACTGGGTATCAGA